CTACGGACTAAGACTGGGATGCCATTAGAGTTCATGTGCGTGTAAAGGCCGGCGTCCCAATACTTTTGGTAATATAGTGTATAAAAGCCTCTACTCTTCTTGGAAGGCTTTTCATGATATTTGGTATCTTGGTTGTGTTAACTTATATTATATGGCTGACGTATGAAGATACCTGACCATCACACCGACAATACATGAGTAGCTACAAAAGCCTCCACTCTTTTTGGAAGGCTTTCCATAAGATTTTGGAGGGTGTCTGCGGGAATTTGTGTCCATTCTGCCAAAAAAAGCATTTGTGAGGTCAGATACCGAAGTTGAATGAGAAAACCTAGCTGAAAATCATGCCAAATATTATTATTATTACATAGTATTTATATAGCGCCAACAGTTTGCGCAGCGCTTTACAACATAAGGAAGACATTACAATCACAATACAATTCAGGACACAATACAATACAGGACAAGACACTGCTAGCTTTGTTACCGCAGCCTGGCACTGCAAGCTACCATTCAGTTTGTGGTCTACAATGACCCCCAAATCTTTTTCTATTTCTGACTTCCCTAGCGGCATACCCATAATTGTATAGCCTATTTGTTTATTTTTATGTCCAAAGTGCATTACTTTGCATTTATCGACATTAAACCTCATCTGCCATAGTATTGCCCACTCCTTTATTTTATCCAGGTCCTCCTGCAATGTTATATTGTCACGATCCATTTCTAATACTCTCCCTATTTTTGTATCGTCTGCAAACACAAAAGCATTGCTATTCACTCTCTCCCCGATATCATTAATAAATAGGTTGAACAGTATCGGACCCAGCACAGATCCTTGAGACACACCGCTCATTACACTAGCCCAGTCTGAAAAGGTGCCATTTACAGATACTCTCTGGACCCGTTCCCGTAGCCAGTTCTCTATCCACGTACACACCACCTCATAGCATATTTAGATAGTTTTTAATGTTAATGCAACCCCCCCCTCTCCCACATCTGTCCCTCCTGAACAGGTTATACCCCTCTACATTAGTAGCCCAATCATGTGTGCCATCTAGCCAGGTTTCCGCTATACCCACTATATCAAAGCCAGTGGAGGGATTGACAGAGGGGGGAGGGGGATGGAAGCCAGTGGAGGGATTGACAGAGGGGGGTTGCAGACACTGAGCGGTTGGTCAAGTGAATGAGTCTAGCAGCTGCATTCATGATAGATTGAAGGAGCGAGTGGAAGCCAGTGGAGGGATTGGCAGAGGGGGGATGCAGACACTGAGCGGTTGGTAAGGTGAATGAGTCTGGCAGCTGCATTCATGATAGACTGAAGGGGGGGTATCCTGTGTAGTGGAAGGCCAATGAGGAGGGAGTTACAATAGTCAAGACGAGAGATAACAAGGGAGTGGATGAGTAGTTTTGCGGTGTCATTGGTGAGGAAGGGTCGTATTTTGGAGATGTTAAGAAGGTAAAGGCGGCAGGATTTGGATTGCGATTGGATGTGGGGAAGAAAGGTGAGGTCCGAGTCAAGGATGACACCTAGGACCTTGGCATGGGGGGAGGGATGGATAGTTGTGTTCTCAATCTCAAGGGAAAAGTTGGGGGAAGGTGCACAGGGTGGAGGAAATATCATGAGCTCAGTTTTTGAAAGGTTGAGTTCTAAGAAGTGTTGTGACATCCAGACGGAGATGTCATTTAGTAGATTAGTGACACGCAAGGACACTGAGGGGGGGAGTTGTGGAGTAGAAAGATAGATTTGAGTGTCATCGGCATAGATAAAATAGGGTTGAGGTCAACAAATAGGGTTGAGGTCAGGCCTCTGTGTAGGCCACTTGAGTTCCCCTGTACCAACCTCATCAAACCATATTTATGGAGCTGGCTTTGTGTTGGAACAGAAAGGACCTTCCACAAACTGTTGCCACAAGGTTTGACGCGCACAATTGTCTTAAATGTCATGAAAGGTGTCTCATTAACAGTACTTTTCATTGGAAATGCCTGAACTCAAATCACTTGGAGGGGAGTCCCCATAATTTTGGTCCATTTTTTTCCAGTGACCTAATCCAGGCCTTCTCAAGCAGGATTTCCATGGGTCAAGTGAGCCAGGCATCAGCAGCATGGAAAAGTATTATGCTGATCCAGGACGACGGCATCCCGAACTTCCCTAAGCATTCAGAAGAGGACAAAAATTCTCTTCCGTCCAGACCTGCTCCACCTCACACCCTTTCCCATATTGCCGCACTGTGATGATGGTTGTTAGGTAGGACTCTGATGTGATCTGGGGTCTGAGCGAACTGATGTAAAGGAGGGACATAGAGAACTCTGATGTGAAAGGGGACTGAGGACACTGATGTAAAGGAGGACTGAGGACTCTGATGTGAAGACGGGACTGAGGACACTTATCCATATTCTACCCCCTGCAGCTAAAGCTTTTATTGCAATCACAAAAGGGTGGCGTATCTTTGTTTTTCATTTTCAGGCTAAAGAAAAGGATGTTTGTAGAGAGGCGGGAGTTCAAAGTCCAATTGGTTAGCACTCCAGGTACTTCAGACTGTCCAGCTGTGTACTCGCATGCCAGCTGGACGGAATAGCAGATTATCAATATGAATCCGTCAAACGCAAATATAAAGAAAACATATCCAATCAGACCAGAGAGTGCCTCTCGCAACTTGGCCCATTATTCAGTAATAAGGTTTTGCCGGAGCTCAGAATTGTATACAATGAGCAGGGCCTGCCCACAGAAGTGTCATAAACTTTGGCAACCCTGGTGGAATATGAACTGGATTCACCTGTAGTTGGGTTGAGTCACTTTTTCGCTTATATAGGCGGAATCTACGAATAGCAGTCCTCAGGTCCCTGTGGTAAAGTGGCACAGAAGTGGGTCATCCAGTTGGTTTCTCTTACATTGATGTACCTCTCCGGGCCACTTCAGGACCGCCCACCGTCATAATACGTCCTGTCCTGAAGTGGTTATACCAAGAACATGGCTGCTACTGTAGCCGTGTTTTTGGTATTGTTTTAAACAGCCGGCGAATGCTGTTCAGATACAAGCCATCCGGTGTCTATACAGTCACCGGATGGCTTGTAAGGTGTGGTAGAATGTGCTTCCCCGGCTCCGTTGTCTCCCATGCGGGCCTTCCACCATTGATTGGAGGGAGGTCAGCAGGCATCCAGCCGCTGATCTCTCCTCCCATCACTGAACCGTAAGTGATGTGTATTTCATCACTTCCGGTGTCACTGGGCACATTCTCCGGCTCTTAGAGGGTGGAGAGCTTTGCCCAGGGCCGAGCTGTAACTTGGGTTCCGTTACGAGCTTTATGGAGGCCAATTAAGGTCTCTCACATTTTGTTTTTACCACTTCTGTACACTGGGCCTTATTGTACTACCACATAAAGAAGCTCCCCCACAATCTTATCCACAACGTAGAAACCACCACAGTTTAATGTATAGCCAAGTCCTTGACTGTTCACCTTTGTCAAATGTATCTGCATCAAACAATTAGCAGGTGCGCCTGGAATTTTTTGGCAACTACTTTAAAGAATTGATTTCCCGCCGTCTCAGTGACACGGTAGAACTCATGCGTTATTTATTATTATGAAACAAAAACCAGGACAGGTTATAAGAGAAGGAGTTAGAGCGATAACATTATAAGGTATAACAGCAGGAAGCAGAACCATGCACAAAGGAGCTTAGAAACTAAAAGAAGATGGAGGAGATACAGTAGGTGAGGGAGATGGGGAGGCAGAGGTTGGTTACAACAGTACAGAGATGGAAGTAAATCAGTTTGGATAGACATCATTAGTCATAACGTCAGGCGATGTGTCTGTCCCACCACAATGGTCTACCAAAAACCCTTCAGAACACAATGCTGCCAGAACCCGGAACACGATCATTGCCGTAGAAGAACCTGATGATGTTATCCTTGATTCTTCTGTACTTCTATTGGCAGTTGCAGGCTGGCTTACCATTCCCAGTGGCAACCAATATGGAGTGCTGTTGGGGACCTGCTTTATCACAGCAGGCTTAAAGCCCCATTATGAAAGGATCAGTTATAAGCGCACATTTAAAGGGAATAAGGGTTAAAAGCCTATGAAACAGTATGTGAAAGAGATGGCCAGGAAATGGGGGTAGCATGAGACACGTAAAAGTCAGAAGAGGTTACAGATGGAAAGAGAAAAGCTGCTTATGGAGAAGACCATAGGTCCATTTAAATGTAGACCATGTGTAGGTTTCAGGAGGCTCCATTGGGTAAGAACTAACAAACTAAGCTTTATTCTGCCCATAAGGTCATTGCACGAGCTGGTCTTTCTCCTTCAGTTGACCAGTTCAAGTCTTTGACCACCCACATGTAGCTCTACACCATTCCCTTCATGGACCATTTTCAAATACAAGGAAAATAGCTCGAACAACGCTGGCTCAGATGTTGGCTTCTCCAAGAGATGGCCAGGAAATGGGAGTAGCATGAGAAAGGTAAAAGTCAGAAGAGGTTACCGATGGAAAAAGAAAAGCAACTTATGGAGAAGACCAAAAGTTCCTTTAAATGTAGACCATGTGTAGGTTTCAGGAGGCTCCATTGGGTAAGAACTAGTTGACCAGCCCAAGTCTTTGACCACACACATGTAGCTCTACACCATTCCCTTCATGGACCATTTGCCCATACAAGAGAAATAGCCTGATCAAAGCTGGCTCAGATGTTGGCTTCTTCAAGAGATGGCCATGAAATGGGAGTAGCGAGAGATAGGTAGAAGTCCATATGTAGATTTTTGGGAGGCTCCATTGGGTAAGAACTAGAACAATAAACTTTATTCTTCCACAAGGTCATTGCACGAGCTGGTCTTTCTCCTTCAGTTGACCAGTTCAAGTCTTTGACCACCCACATGTAGCTCTACACCATTCCCTTCATGGACCATTTGCCCATATAAGAGAAATAGCTTGAACAAGCCACTCCTGTATGCTGCATTGAAGTGCTGATGCTCCACTGCTGTCTGAGGACATATGCAGTCATGTTGTACAAAGTCTCATTCATTCCGTGCTTTAGTAATGTCTTCTTTGACTTGGATAAATAGGTCCTTCTCTTGGCCATTGGTGGAGCCAAACGCACTTCCCATGTGAGTCCTCTCATGCGTGGTGAGGTTAGACTTGTTGGCAAAGCGCTTCCCACACACCAAACACGAAAAGGGCTTCTCTCCCGTGTGACCTCTCTCGTGCGTGGTCAGGTTGGATTTCTGCGCAAAGCATTTGCCGCAAACGGAACACGGATACGGCTTCTCGCCCGAGTGAGTTCTTTCGTGCGTGGCCAGGTTGGATTTCTGTGCAAAGTGTTTTCCGCACACAGAACACGAGAAGGGTTTCTCCCCCGTGTGAATCCTCTCATGCGCGGCAAGAAAAGCCTTATGGGCAAAAAACTTCCCACAGAAGGAACAGGAGCAAGTTTTCTCACCGGCGTGAATCGCTTCGTGCCGGTCAAGACGAGCTTTATCCGAAAAGCTTTCTCCGCAGAGGGAGCAGGAGTATGGCTTCTGGCGTGTGTGGACGATCTCATGCCGCTGCAGGCGGGTCATATCGGGAAAACTCTTCCCACACCGAGAACATGAATATGGCTTCTCGTGTACGTGGGTTCTCTCGTGCTTACTAACGTCAGCCTTCTGAGCAAAGCACCGACCGCATACCGAACACGGGTAAGGCTTCTGGCCCGTGTGTATTCTCTCGTGGCGGTCCAGATTGGCTTTATCGGGAAAACCTTTCCCGCAGTGGCAACAAGAGTGTGGCATCAGTCCCGTGTGAGTCCTGACGTGTTTGTTAAGATCCGCTTTCAGGGCGAAGCGCTTTCCGCACTCCGAACATGAGAAGGGCTTTTGACCCGTATGGAGCATCTGATGGGCGACAAGAGAGGATTTTTCCGTAAAACATTTCCCACATTTGGGACAGGGATGTGGCTTCTCCCCTCTGTGGCTTCTTTCGTGTCTGATGACCTGGTGTTGCTGAACGAAGCATTTTCCACATTCGGAACAGGAAAAGGGTTTCTCGCCCGTGTGGGTCCTCTGGTGTTTCACCAGACACGATTTCACCACAAAGCTCTTCCCACACTCTGAGCAGGAGTAGGACTTCTGTTGCGTGTGACATTTTTGGTGCCGGATAAGGGGGCGTTTCTCGGCAAAACATTTTCCGCAGTCTGGGCACGCATACGGTTTCAAGCCTGTGTGGATCCCTTGGTGCGCTACAAGGTTTCTCCTCTCGGTGAAGGACTTTCCACATTCAGGACACGCAAAGGGCTTGACGCCGGTGTGGGATCTCTGGTGTACGGTCAGCTTGCCCAACTTTTTGAACATTTTCCCGCATTCAGTGCAAGGAAACACATCAGCTTCATTTCGAGGTGTCTGGTGGGTGATGGGACGGGTTTGACTACGAAAACGTCTCTCACGGTGGGTTGTGGCAATGGGGCTTTCTGAGGGAGAAGCAGCTGTGATGTCATCTTCTTCCATTTCACCATCTGCGGAGGTGGCAGAACTTTCCTCTGAGTCGTATCTTCTGTATCGTCCATCTGGAGGAGATAAGAATGGTAAAGATCATTATACGTTATTAGCAATTTTTTTCAAGCGCCAATTCTACTTTGGTATCTAAATATGGCTTGGCCACGGACTAACCCCACCTTATGACCTACAACGAATGGCCCCCAGGTGGTCAAATGTCAAAGATCTATGTAGTGACTCCTTCCTCACCCTTGCTAATCTCCGTTGGTGTTTCCTCCTCTTTAATCTTCACACATTCAATTTCGTCTTCCTCCTCCTCAACTTTGACGTCTCTCTGAGTGTCTCCGGTGTCTGTGGATAAAGATGAGAATTAAGCCATCTGAGAAGTAAGAGGGACCCCTGAGAGTGTTTGTGGGTGGAGACTAATCACATCTCTTGGATATGATGTGAGGAGGAGAGCCGGACTCTAATAGAGGCTGATGTCTCCTGACTCCCCCCACTAGACACATTCCGTCCCCCCCCATTACTGTCTACTGACAGAGGAGGGGGGAGAAGAAGAGATTGTTGTAGTGACTGAACAAGGAGAATCTGGGACTCTTCTCTGGATTTAGTGTTTATTACTCACCTGTGCTGATCTCTGGAGAACGTTCCTCCTCCTCACAAGGCTCATCCTCTGTCACATCACTCTCTTCAGTTTCCTCCTTCACTTTAACAGTAACGATATCTGTACCCTGAATAACACAAAGCAATACTAATACTAAGTTCAATATATAAAATATATACACCTATTACACCTTCCATATAAAACAGACACCCTAGATTCACAGGATTATCTGATGAGGTCAATTGTTTTGTCTACCTGATCATCTTGAGGGATCTCCTGATGTTCCTGTGTGGAATCCCGGGAATACAGAGGACGGGTCTGAGGGATCTCCTGATGTTCCTGTGTGGAATCCCGGGAATACAGAGGACGGGCCTGAGGGATCTCCTGATGTTCCTGTGTGGAGTCCCGGGAATACAGAGGACTGGGACATCTCTCTGGGGTATTTCTGTTCCTGGATCCATCTGTAGGAAACACACACACTGACTGAATACATTGTTTCTATGTCTTTATATCAGAGGATGTGTGTATCTAGGGGGATCCTCAATACTCAAGAAATTAAAGTCTCCTCTTACCCGGTGATGTGAGGGGCGGCCGGTTCTCCATCATGACGTCCACTTCTTAGTATGGCGGAGCACTGCAGAAGGATGGGCATGTTTATTAAGATTGAGCTGCAATAATTACATAACATTAAAGTAATGATTGCAGGAAGTCAACGTAATATGTTTCTATCATTACAACAGATACATCACAATTAGGTCTGCACAGGTTACATAGAACCAATAACTGATTTGCTCATATCAGCTGCTACCCAGATACAACCCTGCCCCTCTTCTAGACTCAAATCTCTCCTCAACTGTCCCTCCTCTTGACCCAAATCCCTCCATCTCCATTTCCTCCACAACTGTCCCTCTTCTGGACCCGAATCTCTCCATCCCTCTTACCTTCTGGACCCGAATACTTACAACTCTCTTTTCTCCACAACTGTCCCTTTTCTCGACCCAAATCCCTCCATGCCTCTTTCCTTCACAACTGTCCTTCTTCTGAACCCCAATCCCTCTATCACTGTCCCTCTTCTGAACCCAAATCCCTCTTTCCTCCATCACTGTCCCTCTTCTGAACCCCAGTCCCTCTATCCCTCCATCACTGCCCCTCTTCTGAACCCCAGTCCCTCTATCACTGCCCCTCTTCTGAACCCCAGTCCCTCTATCCCTCCATCGCTGCCCCTCTTCTGAACCCCAGTCCCTCTATCACTGCCCCTCTTCTGAACCCCAGTCCCTCTATCACTGTCCCTCTTCTGAACCCCAGTCCCTCTATCCCTCCATCACTGTCCCTCTTCTGAACCCCAGTCCCTCTATCCCTCCATCACTGTCCCTCTTCTGAACCCCAATCCCTCTATCCCTCCATCACTGTCCCTCTTCTGAACCCCAATCCCTCTATCCCTCCATCACTGTCCCTCTTCTGAACCC